GCCGACTGGCTGGTACAGCAGGCCCCGGAGGCACCCGCCAGGAGGTAGCCGGCGGTATTTCTCTACTCCCGTGGGGGTTGGGGGAGACGGGGGAGGAGAAGGAGGCGGTTGCGCGGGAGTGAGCGAGGCGCCGTTGGTGAGCAGGAGGAGCGAGACGTCGAGCGTGCCGCCGCCCATGTCGTAGACGAGGACCTACGCACCGCACCGCTGTGGGCATCTCCGAGTCATCGCTGCGACTGGAGGTGGGGAGAGGTGGGGAGAGGTGGGGAGAGGTGGGGAGAGGTGGGGAGAGGTGGGGAGAGGTGGGGGAGGTGTGGGCGGCTCGCGGAGCTCGGAGTAGGGGGGAGATGGGCTCGTGGGGGAAGCGCACGGTGAGGGAGCCGCCAGCACCGCCGCCCTCGTGCAGGCCTGCTCGCACGACCGCGCGTGAACGCCCTCCCTTCTGCGCCCCGCGCCGCCGCCCTCTGTCTGTCAAACCGTACGCCATGGCCGCCGCGGTCGGTTCGTGAATCGTGCGCATCACCTCGAAGCCGGCGAGCATCGCAGCCTCGCGCGTCGCCTCGATCTGCTGCCGCGCGAACCCCACCTGGTTCACACCAGCTGTCGTGAAGTGAGACGCTCTTCTTCACAGCATCGAGAAGCCACGAGACGCGATGGCGGTGGTGGAGAGGGAGGAGCGGGCGACGGCGGCGGCGAGGGAGGCGGAGGCGACGATGGCGGAGGGGGTGAAGGTGGTGGGGGCGACGGTGGTGGAGGAGAGGGCGGCGGGGGTGGTGGAGGGCTCGGCGGGGGTGGCGATGGCGGGGGCGGCGGCGAGGGTGGCGGTGGCGAGGCGCACCGGCACTGCCAGCACAGCCAGCCGCACCTCCGCCCCCACCCGCCGCTCAGCGGCCGCGCGCAGCCGCCTCACGATGTGCGCCCCCACCTGTTCACACCCTGGGCGTGGGGAGACGCCGCTCGCAGCCCGCGCGCCACGTGTGGTGCGCCCCCACATGCTCTGGCGCGAAGGACAGAGGTTGTCCCGCGGCGCGCCGGGCGAGGAGGTGCGGCTCGAGCTGCAGCCTCGCGGGAGAGAGGCGGGGGACAACCTCAAAGGGCAGCTCTGCCGCCTCCACCGCCAGCCGTTCCGCATCAAAGCGCTTGCCAATCAGCCGCTTGGCATCATAGAGGAGCGTCCCGTTCTGCCTTGCGGCGGCGGCGCGTGCATACTCACCGACGACGAGGTCGGAGCCGTCCTCTGGCACGAATAGGACCGAGGGCGTGATCGTTGACCCCTCCGCGTTGACCACCACCTCGACTTCCCCATCGTTGAACGTGGCGATGCACGAGAAGGTTGTGCCGAGATCGATGCCGACCGCAGTGACAGGGGGCGAGGGCAGCATGTGCTGCACCGAGGCGGCGAGAAGCACGCAGATCAGCGAGAAAAAAATCATGCACTCTGAGGATGAGTCCATCCTAGCCTGGGGGATGGGCAGAACGTGCCTTTCTCGCCTCCACCGCGCGCGCCGGGTCACCGGTGGATTCGGGCCGCAGTGCAGGATGCGGTATAGGTATAACTTGGAGGGCCCACCGCGCACCGGCCGCTCGCGCGGGCGGCTGTGGGATGTCCGGCGGGGTCGCAGCGAGAGATGGCGCGCACGACCACGAGGAGCTCCGTGGGGAGGTCGAGGAGGCGGGCGGGCGGCGGCGTGTCTGGCGAGGGCGCGGCGGTGGCGCGGCGGGGTCGTGGACATCGGGCACATCGCGAGAAAAAGAAAACACCCAGCCGTAATCCGATACAAATCTGACCCGGTCACTTTCCTAATCTACATCTTCCCGAAGTTGTCCGCAGTCTACAATGTCGACACTTCTCCTGTCGTAGAAGGGGGTATGGGATCAAATTTGACCTTGACCTTGCCGTCCTTCCCGGTGTCAATCTCGCCGACTTTTCCCTTGTGGGCGCCCTTGAGGCAGCGCACGCGGTCTCGCGGAGTAGTTACCGGCCGTGGCGCTGGTTGAGAGAGACGTATTCGTGCAAGGCGCGGTGCAGCGCGGGCTCGGTCGCGTGCCTCAGCCGCCCCATGTGCACAAAGTGGGCGATGCGTGTGTGCCTGCAAGGGTCGGGGGGAGGGCTTAAAGCGTTGGGGGCGTCCTCTCCTCTCCTGCTACTCCTGCGGTGCCAGGGTAGGAGGCCGCCGAGCAGACCCTCGTGGCAGTACTGGAGGACGAGGCCGACCTCGGGGCGCTGCACGCCATCCACGTCGAGCTGACGGTCCACCGCACCTGCGGGCCGCGGCGGGAGTATCAGGGAGGCGCGCAACGCCCATCATGGGTAGGTGCTGCGCACCCTCGTCGATCGATCGCGGGCTGACCCGACCGGCTTGCGCTCTGACGCAAAGCGAACGAGCCGCGTCGACCAGCTCGCTCCTGCCGCCCTGCGGCGAGACGACTCCGAGCTTCATCCGAGGCGCCGCCGCGGTCTGGCTTCCTGCTGCTGCTGGCTGCGTTAAGTCCGCGCCCAAATCCGCTGCGGTGCAATGGCTCGTGAGCGCAGCGCGCAATGCATCGACGGAGCGCAGCAGATCGCCACGCGGATCGCACAGCGTGAGGCGGTTTATTCCCGCGTCGGCGCACCAGCGCACCACGCGCGCCACGCGCACCAAATCATCTGCCTCGTCGACGCCTATGATGACCCCGACGTGCGCCGGAAGTGATGCATGCGGCGGGCACGAGGACACGAGAGCGTCGACGAGAAACCAGCGCAGCCGGCTCGCCCACAGGGCTGCTGCCAGAAGAGCTGCGTGGAAGAGTTGCAGGACGTGGATGATTTGCATGTGTTGCCAAGAGCCTGGCCACCCGGAGACTGTTGAGCGCTGTCAGAGCGGTCTTTGGTGGCTGAGAGCGGAGCACGCTCTGCCGAGGTCTGCTTGCAGCGAGCCGTCTTCTTACCAGGTTGCAACCCTAGTCTCGCACTGTGCTGTGAACAGAGCACCAACCAACAGCTCTCAGGACCCCCCGGTGCTGGGGTGCTGCCAGCAACCAACCAATTCGCCGGCGAGCGGAGCGAGCCGAAGAGCTGGGGCCAAATTGGCGCTGTGAACGTCGTTTGAACCGATTTTCGGCGGGCACGTCGCACCTACGTGGCGGGCCGCCAGGGGCCCGGCAGCAGGGCGCCCCCGCGCGGATGCCGACGAGGATCACGGTGCGCTATCTGGGCTCGGAGCTCGGCAAAAAGGTCGCGCTACCCGACACCAAGAAGGAGTTGCTCGAGCTGGCCTGATGAGGTGCTCCGCGTACGAGGCAAGCGTCATCCGCTCTCCGCCCCTTGCAGCTCGTAGCTCACTGGGGAGGGAGTGCGGAAGCTCCGTCCGCGCGGCTGAAGTGCCACGCCTGCCCGCCGGGACCGCGTGCAGGAAGCTGCATCGCCAGCGCCGTCGCAGCATCGAGCGGCGCGTCCTCCCCAACCAGCGGCGTGTATTGCACCATAGGTCGTCGGCTTTGCCGACGGGCGACGTGGACGGACACAGGCAGGGACGGGCGAAACACGAACAAGCATGACCAGCGAACGGGGCATTGCACTACATAGTGCGGGACCTGGGGCAGCAACCAACAACCTGGATGGGGACGGGGTGCTGCGCAACCGACGCCAACCAGCAGCGTTCACAGCACAGTCAGTGCGAGACTAGGGTTGCAACCTGGTAAGAAGACGGCTCGCAGCCCCCCGCCCCCCCCGGGGGGGGGTCGGGGGGGGGGGGGGGGCGGCCCCGGGCACAGATTTTCGATATCTACTGGAGAATGGTACGACGGTAGGGAGTTGCAGCCCATGTTTGCGAGTATGCACATTTGCATTCCCCCCACCCACCCTCGCCCAGGGATCTACAAACAATAATGCTAAGGTCCGACAGGTTCGGCACCGGCACCGCCTCGGTATACAAAATCTGCCTGCGGGCCGACCCTCACATCCTATGGGTCGCCCAGAGTATCGACCTCTGGCGGGTCAGCCAGCCCCACTTTGAGGGCGCCATGAAGTACAGCGATCGCCACCTCGCTGGCCTCTCCGCAGGCCCCCCCGACCGCGTCGAACTCATCGGCGCGGGCTCTCTCGGCTACGGGACCGGCCCCAGCTTCGGCTGAGGGCTGGCCGTAGCGTATGGCGTGCTCTCCTCTACACGGCAGCAAGGGAGATCGGGTAGGCCGGGGTGTATGAGCAGGATGCGGACCTGGGCGTTTGCCGTGGCCAGGGCGGGGATCGTGGTCAAGCTGAAGGTCGCAATCTCCTTTTACCAGGTGATGAGCGTCTTCGGGACCGTCTATGGCATCGAGGTAGACCCAGAATTTGCGCACCTGTTCGACTGGTTCGACGTGATGAACTTCAATTTGCTCCGCCTCATCATCCCAAGCGACTGCATCAGCACACTCAAGCATCACATGCTGATCAGCGCCCTATGGCCCTTCGGCGCCACCCTCCTCGCGGCGATTGCACTCGTCGTCTATGAGATCCTAGTGATTTCCACCAAGACCCTGATTGACGCGCGCCGGCCCCCGTCTGACTCATCGCCATCATCGGTTGCGCCGCCAAACGCAGCGTCAATGTCCGTGACGGTCCGCCGCATCACCCGGCGTTGCCTCCGCTTCATCATCTTCATCCTCTTCCTCATGCTGCCCTCGGTCTCCCGCTCCATCTTCGTGGCGCGACAGTGCGAGGCGTTCAAGTACGATGACGCAGATGATCAGTGGATCAGCTTCTTGGTGGCGGACCCGTCCATGCACTGCAACGTTGGGCCGGGATGGGACAACGATTCGCGCAGCCTGGACACGACCTTTTGGGCCTTCTTTGCGCTTTGGCCCTGCGCTATACCCCTGATTTTCCTTGGTCTCACCGTGTTGGTCCGCCAACAGCGCATGAAGAATCAGCGCGCCTTCCTCAGCAAGGGGTGCCAGTTCCTGTGGAACGGCTACAGGGTCGCCTTCACCTTTTGGGAAGTCGTCGACCTGTGGCGTAAGATCTTCTTGACTGCGCTCGTCCTCTTCATCGACCCGGAGGAGGGCTCGAACCGGTTCCTGCGCCTGATCGCCGCCACCATGGTGTCAGCCCTCTACCTCGCCGTCCTCGGGCTCGCGCAACCTTACCAGAGCTACTCGGACTTCGTGGTGGCCATGCTCAGCAGCCTGCTGCTCACGTGCGGCTTTGCTCTCTCTACCGTGGTCAAGCTGTGCGAGAAGGGGCGTTGGGCAGAGAGCTGCGAGGCCTTCACGATGCTGAAAGACTCTTACGATGCCTCTGTCCTCACCGTGATCCTGTCGCTGACGATGGTGATCTTTGCGCTCATCGTCGTCGTCTTTGCGCTCGCGAACGCGGCCAAAGCGAGAACGATCCGCCTCGCGGCCACTGGCCGGCAGCTGGTCCTCGATCTGCCGCGCTCGAGCCAGTTCCACCTAATGGTCTCGCACACGTGGAGCACGGGCCAAGACGCGGCGCACACGCTCGTCCGGCAGCTGCAGCTCCTCCTCCCCGGCGTCCTCATCTGGCTCGACGTGGACAACCTCGAAAATGTCGGCAGGCTGGAGGACGCGATCGCGTCAGCGGCCGTCGTGGTCACCTTCCTTAGCGCCGGCTATTTCAAGTCGGCCAACTGCCGGCGCGAGCTCTACGCCACGCTCGCCTTCCGCAAGCCGGTCGTGGCGGTCTGGGAGGCGGACAAAAACAAGGGCGGCGCGCCGCTCGCCGCGTTGGAGGAGGAGTGCCGCCAATACTGCGTCGATGAGGCGCCCGATTCCCACCCTTCCTTCAGCGGGCCCCAGGAGGTGCTGAGCGCCGTGTTTCAGGACGAGCCAATCCAATGGGCGCGAGTGAACCACTTCCAGGTCGAGTCGATCAAGGCAGTGGTGCTGCGCATGCTGCGCCACTCCTCGACCTACTACTCCGGGCGGCTCGCGCTGCTCGACCGCGGCCTCACGGTGCCGGGAGAGGTCGGACCGGTGCATCTTCCCGCCCCGCTGACGCTCTACACGAGCTCAGCCAACACGGGGGCCCGCGACCTCGCGAAAACGCTCGCGACGGCCGCCGCTGCCGACGCGCCCACCCCGAGCCACATCACGGCCGCCGCCGTCGAGATACCAGAGGGCTCTCTGACGGCAGGAACGGCGGCGGGCATCTCGAACGGCAGCGCCTCGCGCGTCGCCTTCCTGCTCCACCTCAACGTCGATGCGTTCCTCGACGAGCACGGCGAGGTTGCGGCTGCCGTCAAGCGGGCGCTCGATTCCGACGTCCCCGTCGTGATGGCGCACGCGCAAGATCCAGCGCACGGCGGCTGCCCGTTCGGCCGCTTCCTGGACCAAACTCCGCGGGAGCTGCAGCGGCCGCCGTACAAGCTCTTCGACGAGCTGGCGGTGCCGCTGTACTCGTCGCCAGTCCACCGCAAGATCAGCCTGCGCCTGCTGCTGACCCAGCTGGGCGGTACACCCGTCTCACCGACGGGGTCCCTGTGCTCCGCCTTGGCGCAGCTCACAGCTTGCTGCGCCGTGCCCTCACTCTGGCCACGCCTGGGACTCCGGCAGGCTGACCAGAGAAAGGATGCTAGCGTGGCGGCGGCGGCGGACGTCGACGGAGCGGCCCCTGCGGCCCTTGATGCCTGAAAGGGGTTGTGGAGGAGAAGAAGGGGTTCGAACGCGCTTTTTGGATAGAGGGGAATTTGGTGCGAGGAGGCACCTTTTGCCACCAAGTATATCCGGTATCTCGTGGCACCTGAGAATCGCCGCGTGGATCTCTAGCCCAGACTTCTGCGCGGCTCCGGTCTCTCCCGCCGCAGAGATCGCCGCAGAGTCCACCCTACGCACAAGTACAACAATGTCTCGCCGATGTTCCACCGCTGTCCAACTCTTAACGAGCGGTGGCATTTTTCTGTGCGCACATAAATAAAGCCCTGCACCAAAACCTCTACACCGCTACACACCTCTAGGCGAGAGGGTGCAAAGTCTTGGTGGGGAGCGATTTGTTGTGTGCGTGTGTGCGTTTGCGTGTGCATGTACGTGTACGTGTGCGTGTGTGCAAGTGCGTGCGTGCGTGCGTAAGTGCAGTGCGTGATAGTGCAAGCATTGGCGTTCGTGCGTGAACGAGAGGCGCGCGGCTGCAGGAAGCGCTGCCCAGGTCCTCGAGACGACCTGTCGCAGATGTAACCATGCCTGGAAGGGGCTACGATCCACTGCGTCGACCGCGTCTCGCCGCTCATGCCGCTGCCAGCGCTGGGCCAACATACCCGCTGGATTTAAAGCTTGCCCCCCCTGCCCCGGTCTCGCCAGGCGCGTCCGGGTTGACGACATCGCCGGTGACATCAACGCTGCCGCCCAAGTCGACATAGTTCCAGAGAGAGCCTATGCTTTTGAGGGCAGGTTTCTCACGAGAAGAGAGGGGCGCGTCAGCTCAGAGGGCGGTGACGAGAGTGCCGTCTGTCTGTCGCACCAACGCACAGCAGCACCCCCCCACAAAGTGGTCATAGGTTCGAGCGAACAGGGTCCCCTCCTGTCCAGCTCCAGCTAGGTGGCCCATCGCGTCCACCTGTGTGGCGCGTGTCAGGGAGGCATGGTCGGGGAGGTGCGCGAGCATCGCACGCGGCACATCCAAGCACCTCGATTGCGAGCATGTTCTCCATCGTGACGACAGTGTTTCGCGTCTGCGCGTGGACGCCCGCGAGAATGACCTCCTGCCGGGAGCGGTGGGCCAGGGCTGAGGAACTGATGGTGAGTGGCACGCTCTGGAGAGGAGATGAGCCTGCATGGCGATCACATATTGTAGCTCCTGTTCGATCTTCAGCTTCATGTTGAGGACCTCGAGCTGAGGCGGTGGCGGGGGAGGGGGGGGAGTGGGGCCGGAGAGAGCGTCACGCTGCTGCTCTGAGTCAACTGTCGCCTGAAGCGCCTCGATGGGGGATCTTGGCCGCTGCGACACACAGATCGGATGGAGAAGCACGATCGTCTTGATGGCGATGCCAACCGAGGCACCCCACGCCTTGAGCCTGGTCCTAAAGATGGGAAGAGGACCCGGTCTGGGGCTTGCTTCGAGCACGCCGCGGACCGGTCCAGGGCCGTCTCACCACGCGCTGGCGGGTAGCTTCTTTGTCTTGCTGAAGGTGTTACCGTCCTGGAGCCAGTACGTGAGGTCCATTCGCAGCACAGAGAGCATGTCCTTGATGGGATCCGCGGGGACGCTGGTCTTGAACTTCTCCATGTCGATCTACGTTGGGAGGGGGATGGCGTGATGCCCGCAAATTGGTTATTGAGGAAGGGGGTCGAAACGGATGGTGTGACACTGCTGCGCTTCGTTGGCCACCTTGAAGATGGCGACGATGTCGACGTCGACGGAGCTGAACATGTCGACCAAATCGACAATCCGGAGCCGCATCGACTGCTCAAACGTCGAGATGTAGACGAACTCGAAGGCGCCAGGCTCTTGCGTCACTGGATTGGTCCAGCAAAATGTCTCGACCACCTCTCCGGTTTCCGGAACATACCTTTTGGGGGGTATGAGGCGAACTTGCAGGGGCTTGCGGCCGTGCCTAGGATGCGCGCTCAGCAAAGATGATACTTTTAGGCGTCATCTCGGGCTTAGGGCGCACATCTTCGGTCCCGTGACGTACTTTGGGCCGCTCGCGGACTGGACGAGGATAGAATCGTAGACCGTCTTGAGCACGTACGTTTCGCAAAGCGACAGCACGTCGCCCGTGAACAGGCATTGCCCATTCGCCAATGCATATCTGGCGCGCGCGGGGAGGGACGAGCAGTCACACAGCCGGCGAGCCGACCGCACTCATGCGCCCTGGCGCACCTCGTCGTCGGACTCTCTGCGGAGCCCTTTATGCGCTTCGTCGTGCCGTCCACCGACACCGAATCAAGGTACGAGAACTCGCCGGCGGAGAATTTGACCATCGGCGCCCAGAGCTCATCGGACCCGACGGTTGCAACGATGGGGCCCTGAAGGCACACCGGCGTGCCGCAGCTCTTCACGACAGCGACATGCTGCCCGGTCTTCAAATGCAGTATCACCTTCCCCTTCCGCAGCAGCTTGTTCACCATGTGGCTGGCTAAATTGGCGGGGGGAGGTGCCAAAACGCACGGCTTCCGTCGGCGTTTTACGATTGTTGGCGCGGTCTTTAAACTGTGCAGAGGGACGACACACGCCAGGCCCCAGGACAAGCTGCGCCCCCACTCCACTGAGAAAATCATTCCGCAATTTCTCCCCCGGGGGTGGACGAATTCTGAGAGATTTTTGAGAGATTTTTGTCGAATTTTTGTCGAATTCTTAAGACCTCCTGTCTCTCACACCCTCGCTTTAATAAATGAACTCGCTGTCGTTCACGAAGTTCCTAGATAAAAAAGAAAGCGCGGGGCCACACAGGCGCAGCGTTCCCAGTTGCTGTGTGCCAGCGCCCCGCCGCTGCCGCCGCCGAAGCTTCGATCTAATGCCTAATGCGCTCCTCAGCCCACTCGCGGCACAGAGCTTTGGACGGCTCGAAAGCGCCGCGCGCCGGCTCGAGGCAGCCACGGGTCTGCTCCGCGACTTCTCTGGCTGTACGGACAGCGAGGTGGATTGTGCGAGGTGGGCGCGACAGGGGGAGTGTCAAAACAACCCGGGGTTCATGTTGACGGGCTGCCGCGCCTCCTGTGCGAGCTGCGAGTCTGAGGCGTGTCACAACAAGCACGACAGCTGCAGGGCGTGGGCCGAGCAGGGCGAGTGCAGCGCCAACACTGACTTCATGCTGCAGACGTGCCCGTTTGCGTGCGGAGTGTGCGGGGTGAACTACAAGAAGGAGTGCCGGCGTGAGGTGAGCTGCCCGACACACCTCGCATTCGGGCCTCGGTCTTGACGTCTGCCTGGCCTCGGTCTTGACGTATGCACCCTGCTTTTCAGGCGAGCATGTCTCCCGCCGCCGTGCCCGGCACGGTTGACTCCGTCTTCCGTGAGGCCCTTGAGCGATACCCGCAGTTCCGGCCTCGCGTCCTCCACACGAAGCCCTGGGTGCTCCTCTTCGAGAATTTCCTATCGCCAGAAGAGGTTGACGTCCTCCTGGAGAAGGGTGGGCACAGCTTTGAGCGCTCCCTCGCAGGAGACGGGGTGACGCCGGTCCGCACCTCCTCGACTTCGTGGTGCAATGTGCGGTCATGCCTCTCCGACCCAGTGGTGCAGGCCGTGCGCCAGCGCATCTCAAATGTGACTCGCGTGCCGTGGGAGTACGCGGAGCACTTGCAGCTGCTAAAGTACGAGCCGGGCCAGTTCTACCGCGAGCACCACGACCAAAACTCGCCGCGACATTCGGCTTGGGGGCCGCGCCTGTACACGTTCTTCATGTACGCCTGGCCAGGCCGTGTCTCTTGCGATGGCCGGCACCCACCGACTGCCCGGAGGCGTGAGCTAGGTACCTCTCCGACGTCGAGGAGGGCGGCGAGACTCGCTTCACGCGCCTCAACATCTCCGTCGCCCCGAGGCGCGGCGCGGCGATCTTCTGGCCGTCGGTCTCGTCCGACGACCCGATGCAGACCGAGGATCGGACATACCATGAGGCGTGCACCGTCACCAAGGGCGTCAAGTACTCTGCGAACTTCTGGCGGCCACAGCCACGCGCTTCGCGCGCCACCGCGGGCGGCTGGTACCGCGACACGGCAACGCCCATAGTAGGCTGCACATGTACGAGTTCCAGCAGGCTCTTGCCCGCGGCTGTGACAACACCAACTACTATCAGAACGATATGCCGCTGCGGCGGAGGCAGGCGGAGGCCCTCGAGGTGCGTAGGCCACCGTAGAAGCGTTTGGCGCACCTCTGCCCGTGCATGTCCTAGTGCACGGGATGTGGGTCGCGGCGACTCGCGCGGTCTCACGTAGCTACAGCCTTCACGATCCCGCGTTTTTCTTAAAATCGCTCGCGCCTTCCTGCTCACATAACGCACTGGTTCACCAGTCGGCGGTGGACATGCCGGTCTACACCGTCGCCGGCGTCGCGGTTGAGTTCCCGTTCGAAGCGTACGATGTCCAGCTGCTGTACATGGAGAAGGTAGTGCTCGCACTCCAGCGCGGAGAGCACGCGCTCCTCGAGAGCCCGACCGGCACCGGGAAGACCCTCTGCCTGCTGTGCGCGGCACTCGGGTGGCGCCGGCAGACTGAGCGCGAGGCAAGCACCTCGACGGCCGCTCAGCACCGGCCCGTGACCGCGTGGGCTGATCAGGGCGCAGCAGGCGGTACCGGCCGGCTGCCTCGCATCATCTACATGTCCCGCACGCACTCGCAGCTCAAGCAGGTCGTGCGCCAGCTGCGGATGACGGTCCACCGGCCGACGGTGTGCGTCCTCGGCTCGCGCGAGCAGATGTGTGTGCATCCCGACGTCCGGGGCAAGACGGGCGTCGAGCAGGTGAGCTGCTGCCAGGCGTTGGTTGCCGCGCAAGCCTGCTCATTCCACAACGAGCTGCAGCGGCGCAAGGGACCCGCACGCACGGCGCAAGTGCCGCACCCGGAGCGGAGCAAGCCAGCGGCGGCGCGGGAGCTGCCCGACATCGAAGATTTTGTGCAAAGCGCCTCGAGCGAGCGGCTGTGCCCCTTCCACTTCGCGCGGGAGCTGCAGACGCAGTCCGAGGTGGATAGGACCCGAGATGCCGCAGAGCAGTCACACACTACTCGCCGGGGTGTGGCGAGCCGCCTCTGGCTTTTGGTGCGAGAGCTCCCGGCTCACAGCCGGAGGGCTCCAGTCCACACCGCGCCGTGGCTTCCTAGTACAACCACCCACGCGTCTGCGCAGGTGCTCTTCATGCCGTACAACTACCTCGTTGACCCCGCCATGCGCCGCGCACTCAACATCTCCGTCGCGCACGACGTGCTCGTCTTTGACGAGGCGCGCCACCTCCAACCCCGCCGGCACCTCAACCTCAACCTCTGACGCACCCCTCGCATCCCAAATGACAGGCGCACAACGTCGAGAAGGCGTGTGCCGAGGTGCTCGGAGCCCCCCCCCCCCCCCCCCGCCCCGCCCCGCCCCCCCGCCCCGCCGTTTCCTTTCACCCCCCAAAGCTCCCCCACCTCAAGGCAGCATCCTTCGACCTCGGGCCGAGCGACTTCGCCGGCGCCGTCAAGGAGATTGACCGCGTCATCTCGCTCGCCTCTTCCGGCGCTGCGGACGCCGACGGCGAGGAGGGGTGCGGACAGTTCGAGACGTTTCCTGGCCCCTCGCCCACCACCACCCACCGCGCTGCGTGCCGGCGATCCGCTCCTCCACGTTCTCGGATCGGCACCCCCTTCCCCATCCACATCTGTCGGCTCGCGAGACACTTCCGAGACACTTCCGAGACACTTCCGAGACACTTCCGAGACACTTCCAGGTGCACGGCTCCGGAGGAGGGCGAGGCCGGCGCGTGGCTAAGCATGAGGCAGCTCGTCCTCGACATGGAGGTGGCGATCGCTGGCTTGCCGCTGCGGCCCGCTCCTCAGGGGGGGTCGCCTCGCTACACGGGCGACGGCCTCGCGCTGCACGCGCTGCTCGCGCCGCTAAACATCACCGCCGAGACGAGCGACGCGGTCATTGCCATGTGCGACGACGCGGGCAAGAAGCTCGTGCAGGCCTGCTCTCCCACACTGGCCATGTGGAGCAGAGAGACCGCCTGCAGAGGGTGAACGCCGAGCAACCTCCAGCCACCCGCCTCGCCTGAAGCCGGTGCCACACCACGCGTCGACGGACGGCACTACTGGGGCCCAAGGGCCTCAACCCCCCCTCCCCCCCTCCTGCCCTTCCCTGGCCCCTCACGCAGCGCTCCCACGCCTCGCGAGCCTCCTCTCCTTTGTAGGCCGCCCGGTGGGGCTCCTCGGCCCACCACCTCCGCCGCTTTGCCGACTTGCTGCGCGTCGTCTTTGGCGCGGCCTCCGAGCCGTCCACCTACCGCGTGTGTGTCACCGAGGCGGCCGAGCTCTCTGGCGCCGCCGGGCGGGGGGCTGCGACAGCGTCCAAGGGCGCACGGCGCATGTTGGGGTACTGGTGCCAGGACCCGGGCGTGGGAATGAGGGCGCTCGTGGCTGGCGGAGTGCGGTCGGTCCTGCTCACCTCTGGCACGCTGTCGCCGCTCGGCTCCTTTGCATCGGAGCTCGGCATCCCCTTCCCGCACCGGCTCGAGAACCCGCACGTCATTCGCGCGAAGCAGATCCTTGTCGGTGCGGATGGGGTCGCGGCCCGTCCGCCCGACCTCGTGTCACCGAGCCCGTCCCCTCTCCTGCAGGCGTGGTGCCCTCCGGTCCGAGCGGCGTCGAGCTCACCTCGAAGTTCACGCACCGCGAGACGCCTCAGTACAAGGCCGAGCTGGGCAACGCGCTCGTCAACGTAGCGAGGCGCGCGCACGATAGGCCAGACCGTGGGCATTGCACGCCCCTGCGAAGGGCTCGTCTCCCTTTCACGGAGTCTTGCCGAGAGCAGCCGAGATGAGTCGAGATCGGCCGAGATCAGAGTGCGCCGTCGGCGAGTCTTGCCGAGATGAGCCGAGATGAGCCGAGATGACGCCACGCCCCCCCCCCCCCCACAGACTTGTGCCGCAAGGAGTGCTCGTCTTCTTCCCCTCGATGGCCGCACTGAGTGGCGCCGCCGAGCAGTGGGGCAAGCGCGGGAGCGATGGAGGGCCGACCGTGCTCGAGCGGCTCGAAAAGCACAAGCGTGTCATCATCGAGCCGCGCGGACAGGCAGAGGTGGCACCGGCGCTCGAGCAGCAGGAGGAGTACGTCGCACCCGGCATGACTGCACCCGCACACGCGCCATGGCCTCCTTCCTAGGTGATCGAGCGATTCAAGGAGCACGTCGCCATTGCCGAGAGGACCGGCGTGGGCGGCGCCGTCCTCTTCGCCGTCTGCCGCGGCCGGCTTTCTGAGGGGGCGACAGTGGCACGACGCGGCCGCATGTATCTCGGCGACACAATGGCCAATCTTGGCGATCCGCTGCGTAGGTCGACTTTTCTGACTCGGCGTGCCGTGCGGTCGTGATCACTGGCTTGCCGCTGCCTCCGGTCTACGACCCAAAGGTCGCGCTCAAGCGCGAGTACCTGGACGTTTGCAGGCGGCATTCGACGGGCCGGCTGAGCGGGCACGAGTGGTACGACCAGCAGGCCATGCGCGCCGTGAACCAGGCGAGTAGGAATACCGAGATGCAACCGGGATGGATGTGGCCGAGTTGCACAGCCGAGAGGACGGCTGATTGCCGCGACCAGGCGATCGGCCGCGTCATCCGGCATGTGCGCGACTATGGCGCGGTGCTGCTGTTCGAGTCGCGCTTCAAGCTGCCAAAGTACCGAGAGGGGCTCTCGGTCTGGCTCCGCGCCCATGTCCGCCTCGATCGCACAAGTCGGCCGAGCGGCGGTGCGGTGCGCGAACAGCTCCGTTGCGCGAGTAGGTGCGCGTGTTTGACCAGTTTGGGCAGGTTGCAGTGGCGCTTCCTCGGTTCTACCGAGAGGCGACTCCCGACGGCCCCACCCCCGAGCAGAGGCGGCTCGCCGAGGCGGTGGCGCAGAGGCAGTCAGTTTCACAGGCGGCGCCGACGGCGCCCGCCCGCCAGCGCGAGAATCTGCAGTGCCGGCCCGCCGTGCCAGTTGCGTCGGCGCCGGCGCCGCCACCGCTGCTGGACGTGTTGCAGGCTTGTGGCTGTGCCCAGAGAGCAGAGTCGACGAGTCGCGACAGACGGCAGCGCCCTCCAAGGGGCTCACTGCCACACACCGGGGGGCGATTCCTTCCACACCCCAGTCCTCACTCACCGTTCACGCCCGATGCTCTCCTCTTGCCACCAGCGCAACGCCGTGCCCTCTTGCGTGTGTCGCAGGCGGCCAGAGGGCAAACGAGCCGTTGCGCGCCGTTGCGTGCTCCTCCACAGCAGCAGGCATTGGCAGCTTTGCCGACGCCGAAGGGGGAAAAGCATGAGCAGCAGCCGCGACAGCAACAGCAGCCGCCGCCGCCGCCGCCCCTGCAGACGCTGCAGCAGCCCCGGCTCCAGCAGGCGACTGGTTGTGGTGGCGGCCCCGAGCCAGCCAAGCGGGCGCGCACCCACCCAGGCGCGAGCGAATCGGCGGCGACGCCCAAGGCCCAGGAGCTGGTCGAGATGGCCAGGAGCGTCTTGTCCAAGGCCGAGTTCAAGGAGTATATTGCGATGCTCCGCGCCCTCAAGGCGCTCGGCCCGCACGGCGCCGCGAACGGCGACGGGATCGCCGCGGTCAGGGCTCAAGCCCGGGCAATCTTTGGCCCGGCCGAGTACGTCGCCGTCGCCGAGTCCACTCTGCGGTTTGTGCCGCCCCAGCTTCGCGGGCCACTCCGCAGTGCCTTTCTCCCTGTGGCTGCGGCTGCCATGTCAACCGACGCCGGCTCGAGGGGTGGAACCTCGATCGGCTTGAGCATCAATCGCCTCGCGAAGCCGCCGTGCGCCAAGGCCTTCATGCAGTCGGCCGAGGCGTTGATCGGGAGTGCTGCAGCTTTCCGTGACTTTCAGACCGCCATCGGACCGCTGCTCTCTCAACTCAAAGCTTGCACTCCGGCCGACGCCGAGCACGTTCTCGGCAAGGTCCACGCACTCTTTTGGAGCGTGCCAGCGCTCCGCAAGCTTCGAGCCTCCTTCGCCGCCTTTTTGCCCCAGGAGCATGCTGGGGGCTGGGCGCAGACGTGCGCGTCCTTTGCTTACCGAGAGGAAAAGAGCACCACGTGAGAGAGCTGTTTTTAGCTCCCATGATCCTGTTTGTTACTGTTTCATTCACGGCCGCATAACTGAAGCCCCGCCTGCTTGCTTGCATGTGTGCAGCGCACCACGCAAAGACTCTCTTAGCACTCTCTCTTACACGTCGTGCCGCTCGCCACTCTCGCGTCCCCAAAATGCGGCCACCCGGGCACGAGCCCAGAGCCCACCGCGCCGCTCATTGCGGTTGCGTTTCTGGCGCAGGCGGCAAATCAGACCTCATCTTTCCCTCGCATGTTTTGCTTCATCATTGCAGCCATTTGTGCAAAGAACTTGTCCGCCTCGGGCCGGTCTACAAACCCGTCGCGGTTCTTGTCGATGTGCGCGAATTCTCGCGGACCGTAGCCACCGCCGGCCATCTTGCCCATCTCTGACATTTCCTGCTGCGACAGCTTGCCGTCGTTGTTCTTGTCGAGCATTGGGAAGAGCATCTCTGCCATGTTGTCTGGCGGCGATCCCCGCCCACCGCCAGCCGCCCCGGCCCCGGCCCCGCCTCTGCGCTGGCCGCCGGATGTCGGTGTTGGTCTCTTTATCTTCTCCGGGAACTTTGACTCCCACTTTGGGATCGCATCCTGCTTTAGTGCAATCTCACGCAGCGCGTATATGTCTGCGCCTTCAGGCACCTCAATTGCGAGGTCAGAGAGGATCTGTGTTAGCTGTCGCTTGGTGCGCATCCGCACAGCTTTCTGCGCCGCCGCGTCCGCCGCCCCCGAGGCGGTGAGCGCCGTAGCGAGAAGCAGCATGATGCTCATCCCAACGATGCGGCCCCGCATCGCGGCGCGGCGGGCGAGTTGGGGGTGGGAACTTCTCGCGAGCGAAAAAGAATTCACCGAGGGCCTGCGACTCCAACTGGCGCGCACTGGTGCCGTCCTCCCATCCCTCCCTTGGGTTGTCCGTTTTCTTTCTTTCTTTGGCGCGCACTGGCACTATACCAACAATATACCTACAACTATAACACAGATACACCACGTGCGAGCGAAAAGGAACTTGGACGTGTTTTTTCCCGCGAGGCGGCCGCCGCCGCCGGGCGCCATGCGGGCGGGCGTGTCGCGTGTGTTGAGTGTTGTGGGGGCGTGGTACACCCACAACCAAAGAACCCTGCACAAAGATCGCACGGGCATGAGGATGGCCCATCATTGCATGCGCCGGCGCGGGGCGGGGCGGGGCCGGCGGCGGGGGCCAAGCCGGCAGCCAAGTCCGCACGGCGCAAGCCGCCATCAGCCAAGCCATCAGCAGCCACGAGAAGCGTCAGGTGTGTGTGTACTGTCGTACGAGATTTGTACTACTCGGAGCATGGTGTAATGATACGAGAATACTACGCGACGATAACACGAGAATATTGCAATACCTATAAAGAATCAGCGAGAAGTTCGGCGGCTATGACATCACCGAGTTGTCGCAAAACGCGGGCGAGCCTGGATTTTAAGTGATGACGGCTAAACACGAATTTTGCAGGGCGGGCTCTTTTGCCTATAGTCTTTTGCTCGCTCCCCGTCCCGGAGGCACCTCGCCCTTTGGCCTTCGAATTTAATAAATTCCATGGCGGCCGTCTCCATGGATACCCAGCAGTATCTCCGCCGTACTCGCTCCTGGCGCCGCCGCGAGCGGGCACAGGGTGTGCCAGCATGTGCGCCAGCCCTGCCCACGCTCCTCCCGCGCTCTCGCGCGCTGTATGGCTTGCGCAGGCACGTTCGAGCGCCTCGGTGCGCAGCGTCAAACTGAGGGCCGGCGACAGCCCGAGGCGCGCCGGAACCCGCTGCCGCGTGGCGTGCCGCCCCGATCCACCCCAAGGGTCAGCCCGAGGCCGATTGGGCCGCTCCCGGAGCACTCCGTCTCGAGGAACCCCCCCGCACTTTTGCGGCCTCTCGCCACAGGCTCACCGCCCCTACATGTGGCCACCGGGCGAGAACGATGGTGCGCTGGTCGCTCCTGCGCGTGGTGTGAGCGCCGTGTGACCGGCCGCACTCTCTCCCGCGCCCGACGCGCGCAGGTGCAGCTGGCCGCGACGCGCATAGCGCTGCACACGCACAAGTTGTGGCGGCGGCGGCGCACCCGGTCCTCCTCGCCAGACATGAAACGCGGCGCTCCATGCGGCGGCACCGCATTCGTGGCTCTCTGGTCTGTGCGCGAGGCGCCGACGGCGCCGTCGAGGCCACGGTGGACGTTGCCTACACGTGCTCGCTGCGTGAGACTGCTCACTGCGCGCGACCACCCAGTGCTCCATCCGGCATCCGACGTTCGCGAGAGTCGCCGCCGACGCACAGTTTACTGTGAGCGCCGCGGCTGACGGTGATCTGACTTGAACTTTTGTGTGTCCCCATACATCGCTGCACGCTGCTGTGACGCGACGACGCTGTCTCGAGAGAGAAAGAGTGAGATGTGACGGCACGGGTTGTGAGGGTTGCAGCAGTTGGCTTGGTAGTTGGTGTATACACGTACACGTCGCGTGCGGTAAACGCGTGCGGTATACACGCCGCCTCGCATGAGTGTCCATGATGACGGGCGGCTCAACCCTTCCGGCGCGACCAAAGAGCTCGAACCCGCGAGCCGTCGGGGACGCGCGATGGCCACCGTTTCAGGAAGCACCCGCCGCAGCAGCCAGGTGTGGCCCCGCCGCGGCGACACACGCCTCACGCCGCCGGGAGAGAGGAACGTGTGACCCAACGCGGCCGCTCGCTGCTCGATCATCTCACGCCGCATGCTGTGTGCCGGTGCAGGCTGGCGCGCGTGCCTCGTCGAGTGGCAGCAATGTGGGTCCTGCTGGCGGCAGCGACCGGTGGGCGCTGCGTCTCCTCCCGCGTGCCAGCCTCATCTGTCCGTAGGAGTAGCTCGCTGCCGCCGGGGCCGACGGTGGGAGGGCGTGGGAGCAGTGAATCAAGACCCGCCGCTCCCTCGCAGGCGGTGCCCGGCGGTCAATGTGGAGGTTGACCGCGAAAAGAAGGTGCTCGCTGCCGGCCGCCCGCACATGCTCGCACGCTAGGCGTCACTCTCGCTCTGATCCGTATATCGGTACGCGTGCGCAGGAGTACACGCTGAACCTCAAGCTTTGCGCGCTGCCGACTTGCACTCGAGGATGCCACCAGCCTTGGACCTGCTCAAGGCCTTCCTGCGTGGACGGTGAGCACAGCTGCCTACACGAGAGCTGCACCGCGGCTGCGGATCGGCGGCAGTGCAAGCTCTACAAGCCGTCGAGTGACAGCAGCCCGCACCTTTGGTGGTCATTCCCGCCCCAGGCCGAGCTGCAGCACGCCATCCCTCTGCCGGCTATGCTCGATGGCTACTCACTCGCCGCGCTCAATCTCCACGTGCGCTGCCGTCCCTTGTGCACACGGCCTGCGCTACGTGGGGACGGGACCAACACGAGTAGCCACGACTCCATGCGCCGTAGGTGTGCGAGACTCACGAGACGCACGTGAAGGGGCCGGGCGGGAAGAGGAACTCTGCAGCGCCTCGGAGGGAGCCCGAGCTCACCCACATGAACGGGGAGAGCAGCGTCAACGATCGGAAGGCGGTGACGCGTCGCGGCGACCGGCTCGCCCTCCTCGCGTGCCTTCATGCGGCGCCACTTTGCGCTGCGTGTCCCGCACACGCCGCGCTCTCAAAGACTCTCCAATCGCTGGTGCCGGAGCTGCTGCAGAGGGCGGCGCCGCTCGCTTCAAAGGTGATGGTGGAGCAGATGTCGGCCGGTGGGGACATCGGGCAGCTGCTCCTCGTCGCGCTTGCTGATGATCATGCCGTCAGTCATGCTGTCGCTGATCTAGTTGACACCAAGCTCGTGCCGCACGTTGCCTCGCTGGTCCTCACCTACTTGCCCGCGTGGGTTGACTCTGTCGTCGCTTGCTCTGATGCTCTCGCTTTGGAGCTATCCTCGCCGGTCGGCGGGGCGCCTTCGCCTGCGCAGTCGCTCAACGCCGATGATCTCGCTGCGTTCTTGCAGTCGTCCTCGCCGAGTGCCGCCGCATCAGCTCTGTCACCGCCACCAGCGGCGGCGCGTGCCGGTCCGGTGCCGGTGCCGGTGTTTGACGACGCTCTCCGGGCCTTCACGGCCGCCGTAGCCGCCGCCGTCGATTCGTCAGACGGCAGTGGCGCTGCCTCTTCGTCCAGTGCGCCGCTGCCCACCACCATCTTCAGCGAGTCCGTCGACCGCCTCGCAAAGCTCAACCCGGCTCTGTTCCAGCCCACGTCCGAATTGGAGGCACGGACGTGGCAGCTCGCCCTTCCCAAGAGGCGCGCGAGCGAGGTGACGCTATCGAGGGAGCAGCGCCAAGCACTCTCCACGTACTTCCTGCCGGTGATGACGGCGGTGCTCGACTGCCTCGGCCTCAACGCATGGCAGTTTGTGAGCTGGCTCAACGAGGTGCTACCAGAGCCGACGGTCGTGTTGCCGTACGCCGCGCTCTGCGTCGAGCGGCGCCGCCTCGTGCAGGAGATGGTTGCGGAGTTTCGGCAGGAAGGTAGCGCGTGGCACGACCTGACCGATCCGCACTCGCTCGAGCGGTTCCGAGACCGCCTCACGGCGCGCATGAGGTTCCATCTCGCCCACGGCACCACCACGCGGGCGGAGCTGCGCGGCGAGCCGCTCAACGAGGCGACTGCGCGGCACCGCTTCGTCGGCGCGATGTTCCGCGAGGCTAGCGCCTGCCATGCGATGGACGGCGAGTTCCTGCTCCCCATCCAGCGTGCGCTCGGGCTGCTCGCGCAGATCGGCATCAGCGCCGAGGAGCTCAGCACCCTCTTGACCAGCCTGCAGCTCGCGCCAAACGCGCGGCAGGCTCACAACTGGCTCGAGCAGGTGCTCCTCGCCTCCTACCCTGCTCGCTGCCGGCGCCTAGGCACCTACTGGGCGGCGACTGCGCGCTTCGACAACGCGAATAAGGGTCAGAAGGCCAGCCAGAGGCTCGACGCGATGGTCTGCATCCTCACTCATGACCGCGAGCCGCCCGCGGACTTCCCGTGGGGCCCCAGTGCAGACCTGCAGGCTCTGGCGCACTTCTACCCGTGCCTGCGCGGCGATGGGCCGCCTGCCGGTCAGGCGCTCCGCACGCACTCGGTCAGCGACGAGACGCTCACGGTTGAGCTCGTGTACGTCAACCTCTCCTCGCTCGAGCAGTCAGCTGTGGACGACGCTCGCTCGCGGCGTGCCACCCTGGCTACCAGCCTCCCGCGTGAGGCTGAGCTGCCGGAGGACTTGCGCGCCGGCGCCGCGAGTGGCTTCGCGGCGGCAAGCGCTCTGCGGCGGCGCCACGTCGCGGAGTCTGCGCGGCCGCTCGGCTGCGACTCACTCGAGACAGGGGAGGCGGCCGCGCTCGGCACCGCCGTGGCGTCCCCGGGCGAGCGCCGCCCGTCGCGGCGGGAGAGCGCCAAGTTCGACTGGACTCCCACCAAGTCGGAGCACGTCAAGATAGTAGCCGCGCTCTGCGACTTCGTCCCGCCCCCGGATCTGCACCGTGGCGTGAGGGTGAGCAAGGGCGAGATGCTGCGCGTGTACGAGTCGGGCGCGATCTCGTGGGTGCGCGTCGCCGAGGATGCCGGGCGAGCTGGGTCGGTCACGGGCGACGTGATCGGATGGTGCCAGATGATGCGCTCTGAGGAGCGGGCCGAGCTTGTCGAAAAGCGGAACGCCGAGGGCCCGCCCGAGCCGCCGACTCGCTTCGACGCGCTCGACGCGGTGTACGCCAGCTCCGCGGGCAAGCAGCAGCTCAACCTGAATAAGGAGGTGGTGCCGCGGGCTCCCGCCGAGGCGGAGGAGGACGACACCAGCTTCCTGCAACTGCTGCTCGCGGGTGGCGACGTGCCGGCACGAATGCGATTATGAATTAATAATTATCTAATCAATGAATAATGGATAGTATTAATTAATAATTAATTCATAATTAATTCTCATCATTGATCATTAGGAGGACGAGGACGAGGGCGAGGACGCCAACTACGTTCCGCCTGGTGAGGGGACGGCCAAGAAGCGGAAGAAGCAGCGGAGCCGACGGTTGAAGATCCCGGACGCCACCTTCGACGGCAAGAGCCCGGACGACATGGTGCACGCGCCACTGACGTGCGAGTCTGCAGCCACGGCAATCGGCACGAGGACGCTCATGAGCAAGATGCGGTTGATGCTCAATGACGCCGCCGCGTCGGCGGAGGCTCAGGGGGCCGGCCCTGTGCCGCTTGCCTCCCACGCCCTCAATTGGTCCGCTGACCAGCAGGAGCACAACCACGCGCATGCAGAGCGCGAGCAGGCGCGGCGCCAGCTGGTTGCGGAGCGGGTGCAAAAGGAGCGGCATCTGGAGCAGTTGCGCGCTCAGGCCAGCGGCACCTCCCCGGAGGCGGAGGCGGAGGCAGACTTGCAGGCGCAGCTGCGAGGCGTGGCCCTCGAGCTGGCAGCCCTGATCAAGGAGCAGTTCCGCCTCGGCGTGTCGCACTCGGCTGCTATCCTCGGACGGACCGCCTTCCAGGTTGCCCCCTGGCTCGCAGACTGGCTCGTCCTTGCTGTGCCGGGTTTCCAGCCCATCCTCAGCGCGATCGTCGAGATCAAGTCCGGCTTCTGGCTGACGACGCATCTGATCCTCGAGCACATGCTCGTCGCATGGACCGCCTTTCGCACCGACCTCACCAACGGCACCTTTGCCCCCTCCCTCACTGCGGTGCAGCAGGTGATATATTATTAATTAATTCATTGTTTTCTTTTATTCCAGATTGGTAATTAATTATTCCATATTCGTCGATGGAGCAGGTGCTCGCCTCGGCACACTTGAAGCTGTACGACTGGGTGATGCTCAACCTGCTCGAGCCGGCGGTGCACCTCCTGCAGGCCGGACGAGGGCGCGACGATTCCGGTCGCCTGCGGCCGGAGCAGGCGTGGCCGCTCTTCCTCGCCGCCCTCAAGACGGGGCTGCGTGCTCTCCTGCTGAGCGGGCGCCACCCAAACTACGTGGACTGCTTCGGTCGCGAGCTGCGAGAGCTCTACTCGCTGCCCGAGGCCGAATTTGCTCGCTGGGCCTACAACATTTGGGTGACTATCGGCGGCTCGCGCTTCACCAACGACGAGTGCGTGGAGAACTTTGCTGTGGGAGGCCTCAAGGGGGCGCTAGGGGCAAGTTTCTGCGAGGAGGCAGCGGTGCGCAAGCAGGTGAGCCCCCCCCCCCCCCCCCCACACACACACCCTACCCACCACCACCACCCTGAATCCTGGTGCAGGCGCGAATGGAGGCGGTGGACAGCGTCCGGGAAGCAGCTCTGAAGCAGGTGGACGGCGAGGCTGCGGTCGAGCGGCGCAAGCAGCGAGAGCGCGAGCGGCAGCTGCAGACGCAGCCGAGCATCGCCGCTGCCCTCTACCGTGCGCTGCGTGAGCACCTGCTCCCTGTCGTCAAGAGTGAGCTGGAGGAGGCGGCGGGGGCGGCGGCGACCGCGGCGGCGCCGGCGCCGGCGCCAACGGCGGTGCCGGTGACCGAGGCCTCGACAGGCGCAAAGCCGCTGACGA